AAAACAACAAAAGCACTGGCATTACTCAATAAAACATTAATAACTTAATATTTATTTTATTAAAGGCAATATCGACTTTTGTGAGCTTTAAGTCATGTTATAATGCTGTTACTTCATCAAAAACATACTTGGAGTTTTGTTTTGTTTCATTCGCTAATGTTTGAATAATCCTTTATTATTAGTCTGTCTACATCCCAAAGCTCAAAATACTCTAACAGTTCCTTTTAGCTTTTGTTCAGTAGAGATTAATTTCAGCCCTGGATTTGCCATTCAAATGATTCTAGTGAAAGTGTATGGAGTTTAGAAACACAATGGAAAACTTCCTGTCTTGCCACATGACATCAAGGTGGAACAGAGTGCTTTCAGTTTGGGAGAAGAACACAGAATAAATGTGCAGTGTTTGTGTGTTAAAAATACGTGACTGAAACAAAATGCCACAACTCCTGTTTTGGATGAGGAAATAACATTATAAAAGATCAGAAAATAGTGTCTCTCTCTATCTTACATATGTAGCATAGTCTTTTGTATGTGATTGATATAGTGGGGCTTCTAGCACATGTCATACTATAAAAATGCATGTGTATTTGGTGCATGCTCGCTGTTGGGGGGAGATGGAGTATGGGAGAGAGGCTTGTGTTTTTGTAGAGTCTCCTCGGGGAGCTGGGAAAAGAGCCACTGTTTCTACTAAATCATCCGGATCTGCCCTCAGCTCTCTTTGTGCCCTGCTGTAGGGCAGTTAAAAGGGTTGGGGAGCATTAACAGGGAACACTCAACAGACGAGTAATTGCTGGGGTTGGTGTTCTGCAAAAATACAAGTCATCTAGTCATTAATAATAACAGCTAACTGCTTAACATTGTGAATAGGCCTGTAAGATTAAGAGGAACCCCAATGAGGAAATTGCAGCTATTAAAGTCCTATGCTACTCAAAATGAACTCTTGTGAGATTTTAGTCATGTCGTTACCTCATCAAAAATATACCTGGAGTCGTGCTTTTGTTCCATTTACATACTGTCTTATTAGTCTGTACATCTCCAAAGCTCTCTTCCACTTCCTGTATTCCCACATGACATCACAAGGGTGATTGCAAGAGTGTTATGCAGGATTTGTGATAAACATGTGCGAATGAAACAAAACACAACTCTGGGTATGTTTGCGATGAGGAAACAACATTATAACATAGATTAGAAAAAGGCACAATATAGGCCCTTGAAAAAGGTGCACTGTAAAATTGTAAAATGCAAATATAAGCCTTTGCAACCGCCTTCACTTGCAGTCAGTCAATACCAGTAATCAATTTGCCTTGAGTGTTTTGACATGTTTATTATTAGCCCCAATTACATAACCGACTTGCTCATATGTCATCCTTTTCACGCGCTAAACAAAATCACGTGACGTACTCTGACAACAGGTGTCTTTACCGCGGGCTGCAGAATGAATGAGAGATCCCAGACTGGCAGACCATGACGTAATGCGCTAAAACGTGTGCTTATACATCCAACCATGGCCCAAACACGTGGTTCCATCCCCGCGGGCCCCCTTTTACAATTCTCTTCTATCTCCACCTCTCTTCTGCTTCAGCGCGTTCCCCGTTTACACACGCCCCATTGCATCAAACTATAATAGAGTCCCCCTCCCTCCTCCTGCTTTAATTGCCATGACAACCCACAGAGAGGACGGGGAAATAGCCAGGCAGGAAAAACGTGAATGAGATGGGGAGTTCCTTTCCTTGACCTCCGGTTTTATTTGTGAGAGGAAAAGTTTCTATTGAGAGGCCTGAGGTTAAACTGGCCAATCAGAAAAGTGCCACGATAAGACGTGGCAGCCAATAGCGGGACAATTCTACACTTGTTAATTCCATGGCGAACAAGTTGTTGGAATTAGAGTTGTCGGAATTAGAGGGGGGTTTATGCAATGTTTTGTTTTTGTAATTAGTTGCATAATCTTTTGGAATGGCATTGTGGTAGAAGAACACAATGAAAAGTTTTGCAGATAATGCCTTTAACATATTACCAATATAACTTTATGGCACAAGTAAGAAGTTATAGCTAGATCCATCACAATAACAAATTTTGAAGCATGATATATCGCTACAAAGAAATATTGCAATAGATGATAATATTGAAACCACTGACACAATAACAATCAAGCAGGACAATCCCAGTAAACTTATTTTTAAATATACAGTATCAGTATAGTATTAAAAGTCATGAGCCACAACAAATAAGTTATTTATTCTCCCCTCTACAGCTCAAGTGTTATGTAATTACATCATTATTACTAATATCTCCCCAAATATTGCAAAGAAACTGAACACACGATTAATTTTGAGCTCCAATATAGACACTAATGTATGTGTAACTTAAAGTAACTTACAGAACAGCATGTCTATTTATTCAAATTTTATCAACAATATAATCAAAAAGCTAAGTAAGCCCAGTTGTTTTAGTTTTACTTAATTTGTTGCTTTAAGTATATTATTGGAATCCAAATTAAAAGTCACTGAAACCAAAAACATTAGGAAAGAAGCTTAAAGGGAAAATGGTGTGACCTTTGATCCAATCATTTCATTGCATCAGACATCTGTATGAAAATGTGTTAGCATTAGCATATTAATAGTTCTAGATGAGATTTATGATGTTACAAAGATTTTGACCTGTGAACCTTCTCCACCCAAACCTTATGGTGTAAAAATGACCATATATATTTTGAAAGATTCGGTGCATTGTTTAGAGCAGTTGTTTTATTACAGTTCATTTTTCATTTTGACAGGTTGAAGTTGATTTATTATGGCCCAAAACTGCGAAAAAAAATAGATAATAGACAAACTTACAAATGCAAAAATGCAAAAAAATAAAACATATTTTTATAACATTCCAATATTAAAAGTAAAGCTATTCAATTTTACATCTTCCAAAGATGTACTGTTGTCTGTACCAACCTTCTGAGACCTCATATTTACCTCATAGGATTTTCACTTATCCAATCTACTTTATTTATACAGCACATTTCATCAACAAAACAGTTTCCAAAATGTTGCACAATACAGATTTTGTCAATATCATTTGATGCTTCATTCTAAAGACCATACAGTTTTACGCTATAGGATCTGTATTAAACCTTTAAATTATCAATGACTAACCTTAGTTTAACTCTTGCATGGGCTGATTGTGGCTTTAGAAGATATACTGAGGTGAAAAGTCTTTGGGTCAACCTCTGTCACACATATGTACACACACATACCCACACACATTGGCACAGAGGGATTAGGCGTTTGGATTACAGCCTGGATTAATGCTACACAACAACAGACCCATACTGAGAGGGGACAGTACTGGTCCAGATGTAACGAACAGTGATATGTCTGTGTTGTGTCTGGTTTGTGTTAATACTGAATTCCCCTACATGTTTCTTTTAATGATCTCTCTGTATTACTGGGTCATAAGGTTACAAGGATAATAAAGGGCCCATATTACACTTTTTCCGATCTGTTATAATGTTGTTTCCTTATCACAAACATACCCAGTTATGTTTTGTTTCATTCACATATGTAAAGCACACAAGTTCGTCTCTCAAACAGAACTTGTGATGTCATGTGGTAATACAGTTAGTGTTCCACTGTGTTTTTAAACTCCATACACCATCTCTAGAATCAATTGGATGATTCCAACCCTGGAATTCACCAGTCTCAAGTGAACTAACAGTAAAAGGTAGATGTTAACTTGAAAGCTACTGCTTCATGACATCACAAGGTGGAACAAAGCATTTGGAGCTTCAAGGATTATTCAAACATCACTGAATGACACAAAACACAACTCCAAGTATGCTTTTGATGAAATACTGGCATTATAACATGCTTTAAAGCTCACAAGAATCAATTTTTTTATAATATGACCTTTAATGTTTACAGCTTTTCATGTGTTTTTTTTTTAAAGTATTACTTAGTTTGGTGGAATAGTGTCATTTTTGTTTTAATTTTACAGTTAAATTTAGTTTGTGAAGAAATTAAGTGTTTTATTTTTAAGTTGAAAACACAGGTAGAGCTAAGTTTTAAAATGCAATCTTTATATGTGACAAACCTGTACTTCTGCTAATAGCAATTCATGTTTAATTATACTATAATATACTTAAGAGACCTCAAAGCCCATTCAAAAATGTTTCTGTGCTTTATTTCTAGAACATTTTATGTCCATGGTTCTACACACATCCTATAGGTGCAATTAAAGCTCTATAGCAGATTGCATGACTGAGAAATTAGGTCAGCAAATAGCTCAATTGAGTTGTTAATTAAAAGTGTTAATAAACTGCATATTTCACACTCTGATGATGAGGATCTAAACAGCAACGCCATGCTGCAAAAGAACCATACTTCTATACTGATGCAGACCAGAACAATGCAAATGTGTGGTTTCTAACAGCTAAACATGGTGAGCCTGGTAATCCCCGAGGTTGTAGTGCGTGGGTTTCCTAGAACAATGTCCTCAATCCTCCCTCAGATCCATCACACAAACCCCCCTCATTGCAGTTCTTATTACAGGGCTTACAACTGGATAGACAAGAAATAATCAAGATGTTTTAAAGCATTTATACTGAAGATTATGTATTTATTTACTGTTAATCTAACCAGTAATTTTGTGAGAGACACAGGTTATGCATGGTGTGTACAGGGCAAAATAAGGACTTCACTCAGCATCTTCTTTGCCAGTATAAATAAACAACAGTGGAGTTGTTTTTTTCACATTAGCTTCAGAGAGTAGAGCCATTATTTACCCCCAAAGATGTGCTTTTTGTCAGCTAAAATGAGTTATAAGATTAATATGGAAAGTTTGTAGAGACACATTGACAAATAATGATAAAATCCAATGTTTATGGGAGATTCACTATTTTTGGAAGAAATATCCAAATTTATGATCCACAGAGTTACAGGCCCCTGCCCTCCGACTGAAATTATGACATCAAATTCTAGAAAGTGAATGGAGCCAATTGCAAACAATAAAACATCTTACAAGGAGAATGGTAGAATTTATTATCAACTTTTAATGTTATCAAGAAGAATACAACATTATAATATACTTTACTGTATATAAGTATGTATGGTTGTACAAAAATAAATAAATACCCAGGACTTAATGAGCATGATGTAAACTAAAGAAATTATTATGAACTTGTTGAAAATTGTAATATTGTATAAATTTACAGTTTTAATATGGAGATAATAAAGGAGCCCAGTGTACATTACGACATAGGCTCACCTTATTTTCAGTGGATCACTGCTCAAAATGCTCTATTCCACCTTGTGATGTCATGTAGTTGTTGTTTTGCCTTTTGTTCAGTAGAGATTAGCAATTCCTGGAATGAAATTATCCGGATATATTGAAGGTGCATGAAATTTAAAAACACAGTGGAGCTCTTTCTGTATTACCACATGATATCAAGTGAAATAAGTGTTTTCTGAGAGAAGAACTGAGAGAAGAGAATAAATATGCAGGATCTGTGTGAATGAAAGAAAACAAAACACAAGTCCAGGTATGTTTTTGATGAGACAACATTATACAAGGACCAAAAAATAGAGTAATATAGGTAATTTAAACCAGAATGTAAGTGTGTCCATGTATGTAAACAAGCTGGTTAAATGATGCCCTATTAGCCAGTCAGTATTAATAGCACTGATATTAAGCTTACTAGAAAACAGTGTGTCAGTTCCCAAAACACAAATCAGTGTAAGGGCTTCTCTCCACACAAGTACATTAGACAACTGACATACAATCGAATATAAAATATGAGCTGGAGAATGGGACTTGAAGCTATCTCAATGATTAAATTTCATTGTGGTGCATTCAAGGGCACTCTGACAAGATTGATTGCCGACTGTGCCATTTGAATGAGTGCAGAGACAAAAATAAATACAGAGGAGTCCTTAGCCAGATAATGATGTAGCATATGGTTTGATACAGTACAAGCTAATACAAGTTAATAGTGTCTGGGTTTTACAGTTGTAGACAGAATAATTTAAGGGCATATGCAGGGCAAACTTAATCTCTTTAAAGCCATTTCTAGTAATGAAACTGCAAGTCCCATGCATGTAGTGACTCTATGTTAAGGTATGAGATATCTTTCAGGGCACTGGTTGGTTTATTTTGTAATTTCAAATTAGCTTAAAGGGGCTGGTCAGAGTCAACCAAAGGGCTGTAGTGGCCTGGGAGCTGTACAGTGCCCAGGTCTGGCCTAGAATGTCCCACCATATGGCATTAAACAGATATCTCCATGGAGCAAGCAGGTGATGCCATCAGGCCAAGTTAGAGGTCAGATCAGTGGAACAGCAACCCCACTTACAGTAAGACTGCATGTTTTTCAGTGTATTTTTGAGCAATAAAACATCTTTTTGAAATAAATACTAGAAGAAAACATTTAATGCAATACTGTGGAACATTCCCGGCAAAGTAATAACATCTCCATGGAGACAAGCCGGTAGCGTACCCTCCACCAGTAAAGTTACACAGTGCACCTTAAAAGTTGAGTTCAGCATAACTAATCTAAAACGTAGGTCAGCCAAATGGTTACCTTAGACATTTGGCTAAGAGTTTGTTTCTATAGCGACGTCAACAATGTAAAAACAGATTAGGAAATACATGAGGAATTTTAGCACTAGTCACCAGCATCATCGCTCCTTCCAGTACACACCCCACCCACTGCTGCTTGCTCAAACGGACTAAAGGCTTTATCATACATTCCCTTTATTACCTCGAAAGCATCTTAAATACACAACTTAGATCCAGCTAAGTGTTGTAATACACAAAAGGCACCATCTGAAGATAGTTAGAGTTATGCTTTTTACAATACTGTACATTTACATAAAAATAGAAATGTATTAAGACATTTTATACAGTACATAAAGCAGAAGCTAGTCAGTTCATTTGTCAGTTCTTGCGTATGTGTTGACCTGTTAATAATAGTGTCCTTGGATACAGGAGGTGGTTGCAATCAGAAGGCACTGTCCTCTCTCTCCTCGCTGTGAGTGCTCAGCTGTGTCCTCCGGTGAGACAAGATGGCTGCCCACAGTCGACACAGCATGCCGCCTCTGAAAGACAGGTGACCCCCGAATGAGATTGTAATTAAAAGATATACTAAATGAATGCTCTGCGTGTGTGTATGATCACTTATAATAATGTTAATAATTGAGTTTAACCAATTTGTATGATGACAAAAGATTGAAAATGTATGATGTAAATTAATTACATAAGTTATATTGAGTATTCAACTATACAAATGCTATCCATTTTCTTTTAGGTAAGATACACTTTATACACCTGTTTTTCCTAACTATGTATGTTTCTTTTTTAACTGTTGTCAGGTTTTTGTCTCCTTTTTGGTTTGGGATGGTTTAATCTTTGTTTGTATTTTGAAAAATTATATATTATATTATTGTTATCATTGTTCATGTCTGTCTACTATAATGCAGATTAGTTTATATAAGAATAAAAACGGACCAAAAATAAAAAGAAGATACACTTTAAAGGAGAAAGAACCCATCTCTACATCTTCAGTAAAGCTTGGTCAGGACTATCTTAGCTGGAAGATTTTATCCATGAGAAATCAGTATGTTGATGTTTTGTATTGATGGGGAAACAGGAGAAGCCGTGTAATGTTCCAGTAATTGAGCACTATGGGCATGCAAACAAAACAGCCAATTGAATATGATACTACACAACACAATGCACCTAGACATTGATTTCTGTCTCCATTTACCACCTACAAAATAAAAGTGACAACAAAACTCAGAAAATGGCAACGTCAGGGCAATCTCTATTTGCTTAGTGGGACAAACAGCCCAAAAAGGCAAACAGAACACTGATGCAATGTTAACAAGGTGCAAAGAATTATGACTCAAAGCTACAAGTTCAAGGTTTGGTTTAGTCAAAAATAGCTATTTATAAAACATAATTAGCATTACAACTACTACAAATACTGAGCCTAAATGTGTGCATTATGAATATTAGTAACAGATTTAGGCTTAGTAACTAATTAATTAAGCAGTGCGGTGTTGGAGCATTAATTAATAGTCTTTCTTCATGCTTCAGTACGGCTATTTAAAGCTCCCATGTCATACAAAATTTACTCTTACCTATGTTGTTATAATGCTGTTCAAAAGAATATCTATAGTTGTACATTGTTTCATTCACACGTTTAGCTTTTACTTTTTGTTTAATGGTTTAAACAATATCTGAAATTATGCAAAATTATGCATATGATTCTAGTGAAGGTGTATGGAGTTTAAAAACACAGTTGACCACTTCCTGTATTACCACATGACATCATAAACCTTTAAAGTATAGTTATCATAAAGAAATTATAATATAACTTCATCCAAAAATACCACATAACTACAGTGAAATAGCACTTTAAAACTGTCTTTGCATAAAATCATATTCTCTTCTTGATTGTGCATGAGTGGCTGTGTGAGGAATAAGTGTGGAGGCAGCTCACCTTATCCCACAGTACATCAGATCATCCCTGCAGGCCACAGCAAACAGAATATCCAAGGTGAACTCATGGGACAGGAGCTAGAATAAACACGACTGTGATTTAGCAAGACATTGGCTTAGCCATTGATGCATTCATTTGTAAGACCTACCTTGTCAATGGTGTCTTTATCTACAGGGACAGACTTGAGCCAGCGTGCCATAGCCCTAGCCTCAGGAGTAGAGCTGTTTTGAGGACAGGAAATTTCATCTATAAAAAACAAAAAACACAAAAAGTATTAAAAGAACTGACAGAGTTGTGAAAACCATTATCCCAATATACAAGTCAAGTTTGAGCACATTTGAGCTGACTGGAGCCTCCAGGCAAGGTGTGGCTGAGACTCACTAGCACAAGTTTGGAGAAATGTTACAACCACAAGCTACTATGAGTACTAAAGAAGCAATCGAGACCATGTTACGACTTGAGTTATGAATCACGTGTGCCTTTTGTTATAGTGTTGAGATAACTGTGCAATGGATTAACTGAAAGGAAATTTAACATAGGGAACATTTCCCAGTATTTCTGAAGGAATAAAAACATGACATTTCGTATTTGAATTTCGTATCTCTACTGAACTCAAGGTAAAAGGTAGATTGTTTCTTGAAAAACTACAACGATATGACATCACAAGGTGGACATTGGGACACTGGTGGAGAATTTTGAGCTTTGGAGATGTTGACAGACTAATAATAAAGGATTATTCAAACGTGTGAATGAAACAAAACACAACTCCCAGTATGTTTTTGAAAAGGCAACATTATAACATGGCTTAAAGGTCACAGGAATCAATGTTATGTAATATAGGACCTTTAATTAGTACACACACAATATAATCAGATCTTGGATTGAACAGTACTATGACTATGTTTACCACGACAGTTTATAATGTACATATTGTTACCAGTGCTGGTGTTTCTTGAGTTCTTGAGTGCATCTATCTGCTGCTGTTTCCTCTGGAGGGACTTTCTCAGTAAGTCCTGGTACTCCCTCTCCTTCTCACTCAGCTGCCTCAGCAGTCTGCCACACACAGGAACAGAGCTCACTCAGCACTAAGCACCATCAATATTACTTCATGTTAATCACTAGTTTGTCTCCAAGGGTCTGATAATTTACACTGGAACACTGTCACTTTATAATTAAATTGCACAGTTTAACTTTTCTGGTAGCGAAAACCGCACCGCCAGTTACTTGTCTCCATGGAGATGTTATTGCTTTAGCTCCAATATTCCAAATTATGGCATTAAACTTTTCAATTTCCATGGTGACCCCACGCACAGTAAGAATGCATGTTTTTATGCACTTTGAGCAATAAAAATACCCATAACTGAATAAATGCATCTTATATAAGTTTAATACCATATTTTGGAACATAACGGGCAAAGCAATAGCATCTCCATGGTGTCGGACCCCCAACCTGAAGACTCACACAGTGTAACTTTAAGTGAATGTACCTGCTTGTCTCTAATCGCAGCTCTCTCAAGGATTCGCTGAGGGGACAGTTTGGGTCTGAAGGAGGGCTTGGGATCTGATTAAATGTTGCTGTGGGCTGGTTGTCAAACTGTAAACGTCCCTGTGGTTCTGGGACATTTACAGGCGTATCCAAATCTGCTGGCTGCTCCTCGGGACTGCAGTCTTCGACCTCAAAGGAAGACTGCAACTGAAGCTTGAGCTCTGCAATAAAGATATACATTTACTGTTATGATGTTGTCCAATATTTGCACCAGAAAGAAAAAGTTATTGCATGTGTCATCAATCAAGTCAGTGTTTCTCAAAGTGTGGTACACGTTCCACTGGTGGTATGTCAATTCTTTCAGGTGGTACTTGGATAGCGCTTCAGTTTGTTGATTTACCTAATTTGAAGTTCTTTTTAGTAAATTTTTTTCCATCTTTGGATAATCATTGTGTAGAAATACCGTGGAGATGACGTAGTCCATTTTTAGACCTGGTTTAGCCCTAGATTAGATGTGGAATAGTCCTGTTATATATTTTAGTTTAGTTCTGGTGGTATTCGGAAAGCCACATTTTTACTTTGGTGGTACTTTGGTGTGAAAAGTCGGAGAGTCACTGGCCTAAGTGAACAATCTATGAACATGGTAATAAAATGTATGAAAATAAACACTAAATGTTTACCATGTTAAATGGTATAATATTGACTACCCATTGACTAGGCCATACTTAAACATATGTCATTATATTAAATGTGCAGTCATTTATTAAATTTTAACTTTCATTGTCAGTAATGTTATTTTACTTAAACATAAAAAATATATATAATAATAAAAATCACTGTGTTTTTCTATATATATTCTGAAATACTGTATCTAATGGAGTGAGTTGTGTAAGGCAAACACTAGAAACATACATTATAGAAGTCATATTTTGCCTATTGGCAAAATGTTGGTATCAATTTACTGACAGCCCTATCTTATATGTGTGTATGTGTGTGTGTGTGTGTGTGTGTGTGTGTGTGTGTGGGTGGGTGGGTGTGTGTGTGTGGGGGGGGTGTCTGTGTGTGTGTGTGTGTGTGTGTGTGTGTACACAAACGGATCTGTCTGTCTGTCTGTACTTTATTTAGTTTTTTTGTTGGTTTTGTCACTAATTGGCATCGTAAAACTTTAAATTTCGCTGGTACCTGGAAGAAGAACTGTTATGGCATCCTGTACAGCTTGCCTCAGCAGATTATCCAAAGCAAACATCCAATGGGGCTTCACCTGCTGCTGTCTCAAGACTTTCTTCACCTACACATAGAGAAAAATGTGGAAAAAACAATGTTCCTCTCAAATACAGCCAACAGCTTTGACCACAAGGGCTGTGTCTCAATTCTCTTTCCTTGCTTCCTTCTCCTTGATTCCTCTCCTCGATCCTCCATTTTCAGCTGTCAATCAAATGTGTCATAGTAAATGGTGTCCCAAAGAAAACCACAGAAGGAAGGCGTAAACATGAGGGAGGCTTTACAAGGCAGACATCAGATAAAGTTAAATTTTAGTCAAATTTTATTGGTCTCAGTGAGGAGTTTATATCCTCACCCATTTCCTGCAGAATCAAGGAGAGGAATCAAGGAGAACGAAGCGAGGAAAGAGAAATGATACACGGCCAAGGAAAGTGTGAGCTCTGGCAACTTACTGCATCCTGGAAGCTGAAGAGCACCACCTGCAGGCTGTTCAGGGGTACTTTTTCAGAGAGCAGCCTTTTCCGCAGGTTCAGGAGACTCATGGTCAGCTGTTTCTTGTCTGGGGAGCGGATGTTGTTTCGCAAGCAGATAATGAGTTCTGTAATGTCTTCGTCAGAGAGGCAGGACCCATCCCCATCCTTAGAGAGATGAAGAGATTTATTATTATAAGTTCTGAGCATTGATCATGTGTACTGTAAACACTACAGGGAAAGCAGTCAGCCATGTCATATACTTTGACAATGTTTTGCCAAGTCACATGAAGAAGCTAGACAGAAATAAGGAAGAGAGTCTTGAGTTATTTTTACTCGGTGGAAAAATGTTACCAGTTATCTGCCATCATTTTAAAACTTAAAAATAATAACAACATAGACCTTAAGGAAGATGTTAAGATATACATATAAACACACTAGATTTAAAAAGTACTATTTCTGAACACTATCAATAACTTGCACTGCTTAGATATCTGTGGGTTTCTGAATGATGAAAAGTTAGGATTAGGAACATTAGCATAGCAATTATTCAAAGCAATGTTGGGTCCATATAGCAATAAGCTGCAAATTCATACCATAATAAAACAATATTATTCCTTTATATACTGTACTATCTGCAAGATAGCTGCCATAAAAACAGAACAGCTGTTTGGTGCATATTCAGCATATAAAACATTTCAGTTAGCAGTTAAACAATGCTATATAAGAAAAGATCATGGTCACAGCACTGGTCAAACATCCAAAGGCATCATATAACAGGAAGCTGCAATTTTAAAGCACAATTAAACCAATATTATTCTTATATTATACATATATACTGCACTTTTTGTAAATTAAGAGCCATAACAGCATACAGCTTACAGCATACAAAACATTTCAGTTATCAGTTAAACAATGACATAAGGGAAAAGAAAATTATATCACAGTGTGGTGTGTCTGACCTCTGGGCTGGACTCCTGGACGTTGCTGACCACCAGGCTGATGTAGTCGGTCAGGACCCTGTACAGGGTGGCCCTCCTCTCACTGTCCTTCCTCAGCATGAACAGACCCACGCTCTCCCCTGTGGGGCAGGGACTGGTCAGGTCTCCAGGAGACTCATCAGGCATCCTGGTCAACAATGGAAACAAGCAAACACTGGATTTGATTTGGACTTAAAGGTGCATTGTGTAACTTTTCTGGTGGAGGGTCTGTCAAATGCTTTTCTCAGTAGAGATGTTATTGCTTTGACTGGAATGTTGGAATGTCACAGTATGGCATTAAATCTTTTTATTTTTATGGAGACCAATTCAGGACAACTTACAGGTTAGATCTGTGGAGAAGCAACCCTGTTCACAGTCAGAATTCCTGTTTTTCTAGGTATTTTTGAGCTATAAAACCACCTGTAATTGAATAAATGCAAGGTAGAGCTGTTTAATGTCATACTGCGGACCCTTCTGGGCGGAGCAGTGACATATCCATAGAAACAAGCAGGTGACAGACCTCCTACCAAAAATGTACACAGTGCACCCTTAAAAAAACTTTTTTCAGTTATAGTGGACAAAATAACTAATTTGGTATATGTAGGGAAGATAACTTGTATTACTGGATACCACTGGCAATAAATTACTATGGTATCAATAACGTGAGTAAGGGCTTTCTGACAGTATTGACTGAGGTAATTTATTTCACTGATTCTATGGAAAGAGCTTCTCACAGCCTTAGGTTTATGAATGAATTATTTTTGGTCATTATATAGCCTACACCCATATCATGCCACAAACAATATAACAAATAAAATAGAGCATAACCAGGGAGTAATATATTGTATACAAAAACATTTTAATTTTAATTTTTTCTGTTATGTGTTTTATAATGTGCAACTCCACGATGTGATGTTTCTAGACAAAAAACTGTCAAACCTTATACAAGGCATCCATAGTATAATCTCATAAATCATATTACTTATTATATTAGTTCACCAAAGTCCTGCAGTTGTTATTCAAAAAAGGGAGATGTGAATCAATTTAGTATCTCCTTGATCAGACACTGTATCTGCCCCTAAGTGCACTCACAAAGCCATACAATTTTGGCAGATCATACAAAAACAATGCCTTAAACACAGAAGCAGGAAACCACCAGCTTATAAAAACCCACACTTCAGAGCTCACACATAAGGTGATGCATTTATAGGTTCAGACAGTAGTGCTATACTCACGACAGGAAACTGCTGGTGCTGGTAGGGCTTTCTGATATTTCATCCACTTTCAGACCAGACATGGTTCGTCTGAGGTCCAGAGAAGAGGACAGGTCCACGAAGTCAGAATAAGAATCTTCTACATCTTCTACGTGGATGGACACAGGCACAGAAAGGCTCCTCTGGTAATCAGCTAAGAGGAAAACAAGACAGGAAACAATTACAATCATCAATCAGTAATGCTAAACTATGCTAATGGAGCTAGCGTAAATTCAGCCTGGAAAACCTAACCTCGCTCCTGTCTACCCAGAGTTTACCTGTTCCTGCCTTCCTGACCTCACTCCAAATACTCACCAAATACTTCATACCAATTTAAACCCCCACCACCCCACCTCTTCCCCAGAACCCCTCGGCTTTTAGTCCTCTCAACGTCTATTTTACTCTCCTCATCCTCTCATCATCCCCTGCACTCTCCTCAGCTTCAACTCTATTACCTCCAGTGCCCAGGCACCGGGGAAAGACTAAGCAAAGATCTCCTAAACATCATCTCTTCGACCATGCCCTAAATTGCAGTGTCTTTTGCTGTGGTCAGAGTGCCAAAGAAAACTCATTCAAGAAAGCTACCACTGGTGGAAGAAGTACTGTACTGTTGTTACTTAAGTAAAAGTACAGATACCAGAGCAAAAAAATACTCAAAATAAAAGTATCACATGAAAAAGTCTATTTAAGTAAAACTATTAAATAGTATCTGTTTAAAAATGTAGCAAAAAAAGTAGTCTAAAAAGTACAAGTATTTTGCGCAGATTATAAGATCTAATAAAGCTTCAAAATGTGATGATGTTGATAAAGATTTGTTGATGTTTTTCCTTTGAATATTTTGTTTGCTCAAACTTCAATCCTGTTAAAAAAATGTAGTGGAGTAGAAAGAGAGCTGCTCTCAAATGTGACGAAGTAAAAGGTCTTACCAGAATATAGTATGTCATTAGCTTCAGGTTCTTGCGGGGGTCTCTGTTTCTTTCGTTGGGAGGACTTGAGGAAGGAGTCAGCCAGCAGCTCTTTGGATGTGGCTCTTTTGTCCGGGTCTGGGTCAAAACATCTCATTATGAAAGCTTTGGCTTCGTCAGACATGCACTCAGGGACAGTGGGGTGGATCTTGAACATGCCAACCTTAACACAAGAGATTTAGTGCATAGATGGTAAAATACACTGATAAAATATATAGGTAGTCAATCCATTAAAATCACAGTTGATACTTTGCAGCTGATATCATCAGCATTCCCAGAGGTGTAATACTGTAGGCTCTGCTCTCAAATTGGACTTAAACCTGAATTAAAGTAACCCTTTCATTCAAGCTTTTATTATTATTAATAATAATAATGCATCAGTTTTATATAGCGCTTTTTTGGACACTCACACAAAGATGTTTTACAGAGCATTATTCATTCACTCCATACCTGGTGGTGGTAAGCTACTATTGTTGCCACAGCTGCCCTGGGACAGACTGACGGAAGCGAGGCTGCCAATCTGTCCCATTGGCTCCTCCGATCACCACCATCACTACACACACACACACCACTTTCATACTAAGCAATGTGAGAACACAATTACAGTTTTTTGCGACTGGTGCCCCACTGTGGCACCTGATTAATTATTGCCATAAAAAAAACTATGTAATTGAGTTTAGAGCATCAAACATGGCATAGTTTTGATATAAAATACAATAAAAAAAAACTGCAAGGGCCCATAAATGACCTCATAAATAACCCTAATCAATCTTTCTCAGAGCACAATCTTTAACAGGTCTTTTCATTTTTGTCCATATTAGTTTGGCATTTTGTGTATAATTTTCCTTGTCAAGACCTGCACATGTATTGCCTGGCAAATCCAGAATGATGATAGATCTCTGTCTGGCCCCCACGCCCTCTGTTGTGTCTCAAGTCAAGGCCAAATGTGCATGTACAATGAGAATTGTCTTTTTTTTTTTCAATGACACATGTGAAATGAAAGAGTTCATTGGTCACATATAATTGAAAAATAAAATCTACTTTATAGTTTTTCAACCGCTGTGATTTTTTCCTTTATATTTCTGCTAGAGATGGACCATGTGTGTCTCTGACGGATTAATTCATCTGTCAGTCACGCCCATCTGAAAACTGGAAGATTCACTGGTAACCAGACTCACATCATCGTAAAGTATTGAAGAAGTGTGTATTCTAGACCCCAGGCAAGCACAGATGTGTACAATCAGACAGAAATCAGATTACTGCCCTTACTGACATTCCAGTAATCTGATCACTCCATTTTTGTGTACACATAAACTGTACTTCGCTGCCAAGAAATTCAGTACAGACAGGTTTTAATTACAGAAAAGATCTTGAGTTGTTTAAACATGTACACATGCTCTGATACAAAACCTGCCTGAAATCTTGCCAAGTTTACATCTTTGCAAAGTTGGTTAACATTGACATTATTTGGCTCATACTGCAATGCAATGCAGAGGCATTTGCTATGGGATGTTAAAACATATACGGATAGTCCATGTTCTGCTTGCAAAACTTGCCTGTTAATGCAGTTAATGAGTGTTTTGTCTGGAGGAGCGGTCTGCTGTGACTGGTCATTCAAAGCGATGAAGATTTGGGTTTTTTTTTTTTTACAGGACATTTTATGGCTAAAGTTAGTGTTAGGGAAATGGTTATGGTTAGAGTTTGGTGTTGGAGTTGGCTAAGTTTACAAACAGGATTACGCGAAGGTGTGAAAAATGGTAAAGGTTAGGGATAGGAAAATATTTTAGGTTAGTTAGCATGTTGGCAGAAGTGACTTAAAAATATGTATTTGTCACCTATTAACATAATCTCATTGGGGTGTTCTACATGTATCTCTATTGGCATAATGTTCAAGAAATACAAAACGGATTTAAACAATGCATTTTCAGGAGCCTGTGATCAATCCGAGTGTTCATGGTCACATTTAGATGTTTGATTTTCAAAAAAAAGGTGAGAGTGTCTAACTGAAAAACTGTTGGCTAATGCTATCTAGCTTGTGAATGTAATCTTATGTGTGAAACATGTTTAACAACACAAGTCAGCTCACCTTTAGTTCCAGATAAATCAGGTCTTTATGTCAGACTGTGTTAAAATAAAATTCAGATTAATGCCTAACTTTAGTAACAGAGGTTCAGACAGCACAGTGTCTACAGTTAGCCTCACACCGCCAGGAGATATTGATGGCAGTATCAATATTTTAGGCATGTTCATAGCAAGCACAGGGTAACAAATTACCATAGCAACAATGATCACCATCACTTCCATCCCTCCAGACCAGACTGTCTAGCACTAACCGTCTGTGCCTTACCTTAAACATGGCTGCCTGGGGACTTCCCAGCTCGTGAAATGGCGTCTTGCCAGTTGCCATTTCAATAATAGTGCACCCCAGAGACCAAATGTCAGCTGGTTTCCCATAACCCCGCGGCCCCTGGTCGATGATCTCTGGGGCCATGTACTGAAGCGTTCCTACACAAAAATACACTGATGTTAGACACTTCAAATACATGTAAAAAGTGCATTGTTTAGTTATCTTCTCACCAGCAAATGTTTCTGTACAAGGGTTGATTCCTGCCAGTCTTTTTGAGGTTCCAAAATCAGAAATCTTGAGCACACCACTATAAGTGTTTATGAGGACATTGTCACCCTGTAAGAAGACATCATATTGAAAGGTATACTGCAAAACTTTTCTGATGGAATGCCATCTGCTTGCCGTCATGGACAGCTTATTGCTTTGGCTGGAATGTTCTACAGGATGGCATTAAACTTATTTGTACTGCATCTATTACATTACAGATTACACAAAAAGTTACATGGTACAGCTTCAATAATTAGCTGATAGTTGGTATAGTGATTTGTTGTCAATAACTTTATTTTTACCTTAATATCCCTGTGCACAATCTGGTTGTCATGGAGATATTTGAGTCCTTCCAGGATCTGTTTGGTGTAGAAGATAATGGTGGCCTCATTGTCTTTGAGGGGACCCCATTTGGAGCGCAACAGGGAGGACAAACTTCCTATAGGAACAAGAAGAAACCTTTGATTTAAAGTGACAAAACAAGCACAGAAATATTATGGGACTTGTCAATTTATGCCAAAGGATTAATACAATCAACAGTAAAGGAACCAATGGAATGATTCAATGGACAATTTAAAGTAATAAAATGTTGTTGTTTTGTTGTCAGTCAACATTGTCAGTGTTGTTGTTTCAACAATTGCACCACTGGGGGTTAGGGTTGTTATTTAAAAACTGATCCATGATATATTAAATGTGTAAAGAGCTCCTCAGTTAAGTTAAAGCACATTTTATGTTTAAATTTGTTTTTTCTTTCTCTATGGTAAATGTACATGTTTTGAATGTCTTTCCAAAAATTAAGGCAAAATGTTGTGATTTCTGAAATTTTAAAATGTTCCTAATGAAGTAACTAAAGCAGAAAACTTTAGAAACTCAGAATATGGTTGTAAATTAGCAAAAATATGCACATGTCAATTCTGTAGAATCTCTGTCTAACAGCTTTACAATGCTGATGATTTCACTGAATCATCACATTACAGATTTTTATTGTGCAATGGAATTTATTTATTGTGCAATGGAAGTACAGTACATAGATTAATTTGAGTCGTGGCAAAGTGTATATATACTAAATAAGAGTAAGCTTAATAGAAGTTTATATATTTGTATTTTATATATTTATATTTATTTGTGCCACATGACATTCCACTGGGTTATGCTACTACAGTTAGCAGGATGCAACTGGTGCTACTCACTTCCTAAAAATGACCTTTCAATTTGACAAGTGCTCAGTATCAGTGTTGGCTGAACCCCATGAATGTTCTCTTGTGTATATTAATGTGCTGATTACAACATTAATGTAAATTCTTGTCAAATCACTGGCTGTATATGATGTATCCATGTATTGGCATCATAAGTCATAGTATCATAGTACCTCCAGGGACCTCCTCCATGAAGATCTTAATGAAACCATCTTGACTGACGGAGCCTAAATACTGGACTATGTTTCTGTGCTTCAGCCTTTTGTGTAGAGCTATTTCTTCATGGAGCGGCTGGGAATATCTGAGGGAAAACAAAATCGATTGCTAAATTAAAAGGTCCTATTTCATGCAAAATTGATTCTTGGGAGCTTTAAGTCATGCTATAATATTGTTACCTCAGCACCCTGGAGTTGTGTTCTGTTTCATTCACACATGTTTGACACACATGTTAACCAATTATCTGTCTGTCTACATCCCCAAAGCTCAAAATGCTCTGTTCCAACTTGTGATGTCATGTAGTGGTAGTTTTCAAGTTAAAAAGTTACCTTTGTTCAGCAGAGATCACCATTTCCAGGGCTGAAATCATCTAAAAGAGTTTAAAAACACTGTGAAGCACTTCCTGTATCTCCACATCTCAGACGGTGGCACAGAGGATGCAGGATTTATGTGTTAAACATGTGTGAATGAAACAAAACACAACTCCGGGTATGTTTTTGATGAGGAAACATTATAACATAGATCAAATTAATGTAGGTCTTTTTACAATTTTTTGCAGAGATCTAAAAGATAGAAAAAACAGAAAGTAATGTTGATGTTCGCACCATTTTGGACAACAGAGAGCTTTTGTTTGTATTGTTTTGTCAGTCAGTCATGAGGAATTTGTGCTCAACTTTCCAACACACCAACCGGGGAGATCAAATATGACAGTGTATTTTATGATAAAGAAATGCTTAATTTTTTTTCTCCAAAATATTCACGAAGATGTCTATTACTTGGATAAACGTTTTCATAGCATGAAAGAACAAAAAGAAGTATACACTGATCTGAAATCATCATCATACTTCAAATCCCACAGCTACCAAATTCAGTTATTCTGACTTTTTAAAAATTGTCTTACCCAAATTATTCATCTAAATTACTTAATTACTTAATGAGAAATGTATTAAATGAATCTTTTATTGTTACTAGCCTAAGCCTTTCAAACCAATAGTTAAAGGTGTACTATGCAACTTTTGGTTGGGGTCTGTCACCTGCTTGTTTCTATGGATATGTCAGTGTTCTGCCTGGAATGTTCCACAGTGTGGCATTAAACAGGTTTACCTTACATTTATTCAATTACAGGTGGTTTTATAGCTCAAAAATACCTAGAAAAAACGGCATTCCATCTATGAGCAGGGTTGCCTCTCCACAGATCTGATCTGTAACTTAGTCTGGTTTGAATTCCATGCAGAAAGTAATAATACAAAGTATTAATACCATACTGTGAAGCATTCCAGACAAAGAAATAACTTCTCCATCAACAAATACATTTTATGGACCCTCCACCAGAAAAGTTACAGAATGCACCTTTAAAGTGTTTTCCAGGCTTCTTTAAGTACCATAGAAAATAGTCTTCTTCCATCACAAAAATACTCCTAAAACCTCAACTCTCTTTTTGACCAACATTGAAATCAAAACAACTATCCCCCCATGAGACTCATAAACCACATTCCTGGCATGTACATGATTTGTCCAAAATACTTCCAAACTAGGACATATTCTAAAATACTTCATCAAAAACATACCAGGGACTGTGTTTTGTTTCATTTACATGTTTTTGTAATCCTTTATATTAGTCGGTCTCCAAAGCTCAAAATGCTTTGTTCCACCTAGTAATGTCATGAAGTGGTAGTTTTCATGTTAAAAGCCATCTTTTACCTTTGTAGTAGAGACTGGCAATTCCAGGGCTGAAAGTATCCAACTACTACAGTTGTATAGAGTTCAAATACGCAGTGGAGCACTTCCTGTATTAGTACATGACATCACAAGGTGAACAGAGTGTTTTGAGAGGCAAACAGCTTAAATATGCAGTTTGTGTTGTAAACATGTGAATGAAACAAAACACAAATCCATGTACACAGCAAAAAGTGGAGTGTTAAAATGAACTCTCACAAAATGAATTTTAACATTTTCTCAGGGTGTGTAAAAGTCCAAACTGTTCTAGAGTTAATTTAACATTTTTGGAAATGTTAATTAAGTAACACTGAACCAAAGTTCTTATTTAATGCCAAAATCAAGAGTTATATTAACATTTTGAGAGTAAATAGATAACACTTTGTAGGGTTATCCTGATTCAGCTAAACAACACACAGAGGTGTTTTATTTTACACTTTCTTTTAATTAATTTAAGATGAAATTATGTACAAAACTGGTTCAAACTGGGCTGGTTTGAAGTGGTGGGTGGGAGGCGTCAAATTAACACTAAGGGAAATTGAATGGGGTATTGGGGGTGTTGAATTAACTTCAGCCATATCAACTCTGGCAAATAACCCAACTCGAACCCCCTTTTAACTTACAAATAGTTAAAATAACACTTTTTGAAAATCTCTAAAATATTTTACCCTTAAGTTTTTACCCTCCAGTTTTTGCTGTATAAGTTTTGATGTGGAAACAACATTACAACATAGATTTTTTTTTAAAGTACAATGGGGCCTTTAATAGGAGTTTATATGTTGTTTGTGCCAATCTCAGTTCTCTGTATACATAATTTGCCCAAAATACTTCCAAACTAGGACATATTCTAAAATAATTGGAGTAATCCTCTATCCTTACGTGCTGTCTTTCTCTGGTATCTCCTTGATTGCGATTCTGACTTGGTTGCTCAGGTCCCTCCCAGCATACACCACTCCATATGTGCCTTTTCCGAGCACCATTTTGTCTCCGTTCTCATTGGTCTCATAGACGTACTACAGATGGGAACAGAATGAAAGAGGACTCTGTCAATGGGGCATTGCAGGCAATAAGAGGAATTTGACAAGCAGGTGGTAAAGAGGGATACTACAGAAATATAAGTCGTTAGTCTAGAAGTATGTGCACAAATCAAATGCAAAAAAAATGTTGTTAATAATTTTGAAGTTTCCTGTAACTCTATTTCTATAGTATATGTAATATTAAGCATAAGAGAAAAGGTTAAATGATTCATCTTGTCATCTTGTTTTGATTGTTGTGTAAATTGTTTCGATAACGGGTAGTAACTGAAGTGACAAACACAGCTATCCAGCATGGACGATGGAACAATATGACAAATCACTGTCATGTCTGTTGAACTGTCAATCACAACCATGATTGACAGTTCAACAGTTCAGAGTAATTTTAGCAAGAGGGTGTGGAAATAGGGTGTGGAAAAAAAGAAAAAGGAAATGGTTGACCAATCTTTTGACAATATCTGACCTCCAGTATTCCATTGTTCTGGGGGTTCAGGACTGGGTCTGGGTCATCAGCCTGTAGCAGCAGTAGAGAGTTCACCAGTTCACAGAATCTACAGGAAAAACAAAGGCACTAGTTAAATGTGGGTAATACAAGTTTTACTCAATACTTTCTGAAGAGGGCTGTGGGATGTGGGTCAAATCATTTGAGATGATCCTGGGGATTTCCTTAAAGGCGGTAAAGGAAATGTGACTCATATTGATTACATAAGACTTGGCGAAGGTACAAGAACAATAGCAGTGTTATAAACACTCAGTCTGGAGTCTACAAGCTAGCACCAAGCTAACAAGTACACAAGATCCTAGATTTGACTACTCAAACTACCCATTGTATGGATACACATTTTGTTTTCTATTTTTACGTGTCATTTTATAAGCAAATGTCAGCATTGTCTCTGAGCACAAATGTTGAGTGTAACACGGGTTACAAGTTAATCAGTAATATACAAATAAGATCAAGCTTTAACCACATTAAACTGTAGTCAGGTTTATGTGCTATTTAAAAAAGGTACATGATGTAACTTTCTGGAAGTGGCAGAAAACCTGCATGATTAATGAAAATAGAAGGGAAAACCATACTGCGCAACATTCTCCAAGCAGACAGAAAGTTTTATGCCACACTGTGCAATGTAATAGCCAAGTAAGAGATCATTTTGTGGAGATGCAAGCCTACAGTAAGGGTTTCTGTTTTTCAGTGCAATAAACACCAAACATGCTTTTATTTTAGTCAGACTTCTTGCTGAAAAAGATACATACTGGGGCTCTAAATACAGGTGAAAATCCAAAATAAACTAACTAAAATAATTAAGCATTTCCACAGAACTGAGTTTGTATCTAATCAGACCTAACCCTGCCCTATGTCTTGTTCAGGGATTGTTGATTCACTCACCCTTTGCAGTGGGCCTCAGAGGGGAAGCAAAGTTGAAAGTCATCAGAGTTGTAGTGGACATAGAGGAAACAGCTGCGCTCATCGATCTTTGAAACACTGATGAGGAAAAGGGATAATCAACAATCAGTCTCTTTGTTTTTAGCAACAACTTGGACTAAAAAAAAAACTCATGTAACTTTAAAAAGAGCCCATGCTGCGCTATTTTGTGATCTAAGTTAAAATGCTACTTCCACATCAAAACATACCAGGAGTTGTGTTTTGTTTCATTCACACATGTTTGAGTTCTTCTCTCAAACGCAAAACACTCTGTTCCACCTTGTGATGTCCATACACCAATCAGTAGAATCATTTGGATCATTTCAGCCCTGGAATTGCTAATCTCTACTGAACAAAAATAAAAAGGTAGCTGTTAACTTGAAAACTACTGCTTCATGACATCACAAGGTGGAACAGGGCATTCTGAACTTTGGAGCATGTCTGAATGAAACAAAACACAACTCCTAGTGTGTTTTTGAGGAGGTAACAACATCATAAATTGGCTAAAAACTCACAGGAGTCAATTTTGCTTAATATAGACCATTAAATCATTCCTCTCCCAACAAAGAACCCATTTGACTTGAAATTGCAAAGTAGGTGAAAGAGGGCACAACAGCACAAGCTTGGACAAGATTTGCTCAACCCATTACGCAATTCATGTCCCTTAAAGGACAATTTAATAACATTGACGACCATGGACTCAGTGATATTTGTTTTGTATTAATCCCAGATGTTGACCTACACAGCTTATTAAATCGGCTGAATGCAAATGACCTGGCAACTAAGGCAAAATAAATTAAACATTATTTGGAAAGCATCATTGTCATCATAATATTATTTTACTCTACCTGACTCCCCGGATTGCAGAGGCTGGGAAAGTCCACTGATGGAGGCCTTTCTGCAAAAACATCATAGTCACATTGTAGGTTAATTTCACATTCAGTCTGATAAAACAGAATTTGTCTGCATGCATCATAACATAATGGAGGGAGTTTATGGGATTGCACAGCCAATAGTCACTAAACCATAAGCAGGAACCAATTTTAAATACTCATATTACTGTAATTGAGTAGATCTTTTGAGGAATTGCAGCTAATTGTGTACACTTTAAAATCTGTACTTTAACTTGTAATTGAGTATAATTCTAGCATCTAACTGTAATTAGCTATATTTTAAAATCATATTAGACATTACTGATTACTCTAAGTCCCTATTGTGCTAAAACATGGTAGTCTCAATGCTGTTTCTGCCCCTTTCTCTATCTCTGTATAAAAACACAGCTCTGTATCTCATGCTCTGATTGGCCAGAACTCACAAAATTTGCAGATTGTGATTTAAAATTTACACCATTTGACTGATGACGTTTTGTTTTTGAGATAGACTATGACTGATGTCGATAACGATTCTTTATAATCCAGAGAGACCAATGGTGGATAAACTCTGTTGATATTTTTGAGCCAATATTTTGTTGCCAATTTTAATTATTTCCCATTTAAATTTAATACCAACTCACCCAGTCCCATTTGACCACAAACTTTAAAAACAGCTGTGTCACATTTTGTACATTTATGTTTTCGTATGAAAGTTTTCCAATAAAGCTTTGTGTGTCGTCTTTGGCAGCAGGTCGACCAAAACAAAATATAGGCCTGTGTTTGAGATTTAACGACGAGAGTTGATGCGCTAAAAAGTACAAATAACGGCTGACCGATATATCGCTCTATCTCTGTTTTGAATACAAAAGGTGACCTTAAGCACTATTAAAATTGCATTAAAAAGTAACTTGAGTAGTATTTTGTCTGATAAGTTTAATTTAAGTACAAATTTGGCAGCAGTACATATCTAGCCATGTAACTATACTTTTACTTGAGTGCAAATTTTGAGTACTCTTTCTATGACTGAATCTCCATAGCTTATTGTATTTTACTGCAGCATACCTTCTGAGGCGATACATGTTTCAACTGGACAGTGCGACTCTCGTCCTCCTCATTCACACAAACTATGGCAGGCTGGAAGAGTTTGCTGGGCTCAAGGATAAGTACCTAAACACAACAATAACAAGACTGAGGGTAGAAAATATGCTATAGAGATATTAGATTTAGTGGCAATTTGTTGAGTTACGGGGCAGCGGTTTTTGGAGATGGTGGGTTTACAGGTTTGCAGAAGCAGCTCCATCCAGAAGTCCATGGTCTCCTCTTTAGGACTCCTCACCTCAGGTAACTTGGCAAACTGCCGATACAGGATAAACGTCTCCATGATGGAAGCTATAAACCTAAGAGAAAACATTGAAATTGGTGAGAGTGCTGTAAAATTAAAGGGCCTATTACACTATTTTCTGTAAGGTTATAATGTTGTTTCCTCATCAAAAACATAACTGGAGTTGTGTTTTGTTTCATTCAAACGTTTAACACACAAACCCAGCACAGTTAGTTCTCTCAAACGGAAAACACTTTGTTCTATTTTGTGATGTTAGGGTGGTAATAAATAAAGGAAGTGCTCCACAGTGTTTTTAAACTCTCTACACCTTCACTAAATCACCCCTTCATTCAATCACAATTTCAGCCATGGTATTGCCCATCTCTACTTCACTAAAGATAAAATTGTGGCTGAAAACCTGAAAACTACAACTGCATGACATCACAAGGTGGAACAGAAGATTTTGAGCTTTGGAGATGTAGACAGAGTAATAATAAAAGTACTCCAACATGTGTAAATGAATCAAAACAGAACTCCAGGTATGTTTTTGGGGAGTTAACAACATTTTATCATGAGTTAATGCACAAAGGAATCCTTTTTGTGTAATATAGTTAAGGCTGTAAAGTCTAGTCTAACTTATATTTTTGTAATTTTTTGTGTATACAGATCAACAACTGCAGATTTTCAGATGACATCACCACATTATGGGTATAGGACAATAATATTTGATACAAAAGGGGCAGCTAAAATTATATTGTTAAAATTTTCATTCCATTTCAGTGAGTTCGTGGATCAAATGATGGGTCAAGTAAAACATCAACATTTATGAATTTGGTTATTTTCAAATAGAATGCAATCAACAGGAAAAAAAATGTCTCTTTCCCTCCATCTGGGATTATGACATAGAGTCTGAAAACCACTAATACACACAAATTAATCATGTCAAAATGGCTAGAATCTTTGCTATACATTGGTAATCAATATAATATGCATGTCTTACCACATAGGTGCTTTGAGTTTGTACAATTTCTCTGAAGCTTCAATGACTTTCCTTGGTTCTTTGATCAGAATGTTTGCCCCTAAATAGAAGCCCACATCCCAGTAGTCCTTCATCTTCTCCAGGCTGCCCTTTCTCCCAAGCAGGGTGTTTATAGTGACGCCTGGGTTCAATGACATAATAGGTATGGATTTAACCACCAAGGAACCATTATGTAAACAAGGTTTTGTGTAGCCTGTCTATGATCACATTCATTAGATTAACATGTTCTATTCCATATTGCTGTTGATAAAGGCTAATTAGTCAATATTTATCTAATTAAGTTTCCTATTATAGCTATGTGCCATTTTGAAGATCTTGACCAATGAAAAGACAGACTATTTTGTTTTGAATTGTTAATTGCTATGGTAAAGTCTCTAATTTTCCATCAAGCACACATATGGATATATTTAATGGGATTTTGGGTTTTTTTTGGCTTTTTTTTTTTTTTGCCAAAACGTTATCTAAAAATAAAAACATCTTGGACATTGACCATTTGAGTGAGCTTTTTACAGCTTTTTAATGTCATGGATGCAATGGAGCACTTTTCAAAATACGGAAATTTGGAATTTCCATTTTGCCATGGCATCGATCCTACCACATCATCACTTGAAACCCACGGATTCGTAACCTCTAGCCACAATGACTGTATGCAGATCTTGAATTTGAGTTTTAGTGAATCTATGCCACAATCATTTGACTACACATTTTCTTCAGTGTAGTCTCTCATAGCATAATTAGTTAAAGATGCGCTATGTAACTTTTTGGTTGGGAGTCTGTCAACTGCATGCATCTATGGATATCATAGCTCTACCAGAAATGTTCCACAATAAGACATTAAAAAGCTCTAACTTACATTTATTCAATTGCTGCTCAAAAATAGCTAGAAAAACAGATCACTGTCTGTGAGCGGTGTTGCCTCTCCACAGATCTGACCTGTAGCTTAGCCTGGTTTGGTTTGCATGAAGATAGAAAGATTTAATGCCTTACTGTGAAATATTCCAGACAATCTCTCCATGGAGAAAAGCATTTGACAGACACTCCACTGGAAAACTTGCACAATGCACCTTTAAAGATTTAGTGTAAAGAAAAAAATTAAACTTACCGATTTTGCGTAATTCAATAGATGTATCAAATTCATGCCCTGCTGCCATCAGAAGGACCACATTATTGATGCCTGAATGGAGAGTGGGCTCTGCCTCAAAAGCTCTGCCATACCTATGACAACCAAACCATTAGTAGCAATAGAGCACTGAACTGTCCATAGCAGAACTCCCTGGCCAAAAAATCTGATAATTAAAAGAGTAAGATGTGATTATTGCTCTGTTTACATGCCCAAGCAAAATCCGATCATCCAAAAAAACAAACAAACATTTGTCAGTTAATCAGGGTTTTTTGTTATTGCAACTGTTATATTTGGGAGACAAGGCACAATTCCCTTTAAAATAACCCTTCCAATCCTTAACATTTTCGCTTTCATTTTCCATAATTTACCATGTCTAAACTTGCACTGGTGTGAACAATCAGAAGTTACATTTAGTCAGTTACATTTACTTGAGTTCCTTAGTAAGAAATCTTACTTTTCAGATTACTTTTCTAACAGCATACTTCATTCAGAATATACTTATTGAAGTAACAGTTCTAGACAACAGTACTTGAGTAAAGGTTTTGGTTTCTCTTTCCATTGTGAGGAAATGACAAAAGGTTTACCCCTGCTCACCTCAAACTCATCTATTTATAGGGATGTATATAGGGATTTACATGGATATCCAAATCTCATAGTACGATATTATCATGATATGCAACTCATGGTACGATATTTATTGCAATATTTTGAAGACGCTTTTTTACTTTTAAAATACCTTGAAAAGATTTTGGTATGAATTATTTCCGTCATAATCCCAAGAATTCAAGTAAAAAACATATGTCTTCACGTTGTCTGCACTGAAATGAATCATGGGATATGTAGTTCCCTAAGTTTATAAGCTGCTGCAACTATAAAACCATGCATTTAAGCAAAGGAACTTGTGATTCGATATATTGTGACAGCCCACGATATTATTGTGAGACGTACGATGCAACGGATACGGTATCACAATATTTCGGTTATTGTTACAATCCAAAAATTTACATGCCATTTTGCTAATCTGGTAATTCCTGAAATCAGATAATGATCAGATTTCTGCATGTAAACAAACCACAGTTAAATTTTAAAGTGTATATACCAGTAGCTGGCCTGGTCTCTGCTCTGGTGGTCTGTGAACCCTGAGCTCATGAACATATCTTTGTAAATGCGCCCACATAGACAGAGGACGTCCGATGCCACCTTCCCTTCGGACTGCACCAGGGGCAGGATGCACTGTAAAGCCTTGTCTCTATCTCCTGGGTGATTTCTCCTGAAAGAACAGATTAGATAACATGATGCACCAGGAACCTGACCTTAAATTGGCATGCTGTTATCTGTCTATGCTATAACATTGCTTCCTCATCAAAAACATACCTGGAGTTGTATTTTGTTTCATTCACACATATTTAACTCACAAACCCTCCATAGTTCTTATCCCAAACAGAAACACTCTGTTTCATCTTGTCATGTCATGATATCTACTAAACAAAAGATAAAAGATAACTGACTTGGAAACTACAGCTCCATGACATCACAAGGTGGAACAGAGCATTTTGAGACTGGGGGATGCATACAGACTAATAATAAAGGGCTTCTCAAACATGTGAGAATGAAACTAAACACAACTCAAGGTATGTTTTTGAGGGGGTAACAACATTATAACATAACTAAAGGCTCACAAGAGTAAACTCTGAGTAATATAGAACCTCTAAACATATTTAGCCACACTGATGTTCAACAATGGGATAAAAGGCATGAGTGACACCTGAGACGCTGCCATTGTCCTGTTTTAATTAACAGATACTAGCATGTACCTGTTCAAAGCAAAGATGTAGTGAAACTTGATATTCTGGTGTCTTGCTACGAGGCACATGGGCAGGTTGTTCAAGGTCTCCACCAGATTGATCATGGAACTGTAGTCCTGAAAACAAAAAAACAAAAGGAGAAGTGTAGGGTGTTGGGTCATTCATCTGAAATTCAACCCCAGATAAAATATGAACACATACTAAACAAGCCCAAGCAAGGATACTCTGTAGGGCATTCACACAAATACATAACATGTATTTAAAGGGCCATATCACACTAGTTTCTGATCTAGGTTATATATAAATATGTTATTTCCTCATCACAAACATAGCTGGAGTTGTGCTTTGTTTCATTCACACATGTGTAACACACAAATCCTGTGCATATCCAGCATATCCTGTTCTTCTCTCAAACAGAAAACACTCTACTGCCTTGTGATGTCACGTGGTTATACAAGAAGCACTCCACTATTTTTTATCCCATACACCTTCACTAGAATCATTTGGATGATGACATTTGTAGATGTAGACAGTAATACACCATGATTACTCAAACATGTGTAACTGAAACAAACTAAGTCCATGTATGTTTTTGAGGTGATGGCAACATTATAACATAACTTAAAACTCACAAGAGTCAATTTTGTGTAAAATACTGTAGGACCTTTAAATAGTCTTGTCTATTTGACAATGAATTCATACAGAAATCAATCACTTTACCATTTATTAGGGGTGGTATGATATGAATCTTTCTTTTATTTGTTTTTTTTTAGCTAATATCAATATCTGAATAACATAATGTATGTATATGTGTGTGTGTTGTGTATGTTATTCAAAATACAATGATTTTTTTTGTGATGTTTACTTCCTTTGCTGCTGTTTTCAAATGTATCTTGTTGCATGTCAGCACTGCTTCCTGTGTCCAGTCCAGTCCAGTGTGTAATTTAATTCAAAATAATGACTTTATCTACATCTCTATTTCCATGCACTACTCTCACCAATTACACATACAGAGGGAAGGTTGGCTATACCTTTCTTGGAAGTGAGCTTTTTTCAAAGTTTTATACTACACTTTTTACCTACAACAACTTCAAATAGGAAATAAAAGCTGCGCAACACTACTTAAAATGTTTCAAGTTGCAGTTCTCTAGAAATACTATTGCTTTGTCTAGAATTCTCCACAGTACAGATTGCATCTATCTATAATGATGGCGACAAGCAGGTTACAGCATTGTGTTAGATCAGTGGAGAGTGACCTCTATTAACAGAAGGAATTACTGTAGAAGCACATGTAATCAATAAATGTTAAATGGATATGTTTAAAGTCATAACATTGAACATTGCAGGCAAAGCAATAAAATCTCTATGGAGGTAAATAGTTAGCACATTTAAAGGGCCTGTACTTGATTTTAATTTGTTCTTGCCAAGATAAACACTCTTTATATCATGCAACTTATGATAAAAGCTGCTAAATAAGAAAAAAAGTTTGGTCTGTAAGATACCACCTGCTAATTTTTTTCAAGTAATAACTAAAACAGAAGTGACTGACAGTATCACTGTTTTCATCCAATTCTCTGATTCATGGTGGATTTTCAAGAGCTACAAAAAAGCAAACAGATGGCAGAGATTCAGGACCTATAAGGAAACAACTGCATGACACTATCCCAGACAGTTGTTTTTGTGTCATGATGAAATATCACAGTGGCAGAAAGAAGTAAGTGGGCGGGGCTAGAAGTTCAAACTAAATCAAATTCCTGACTACTGATTGGAAATTACTGGTAGGTACAGGCCCTTTAAGAAAACAAAGATTGTAGTATGTTCTTTTATTACTTATCTCTGTATGTTTTTATATGTTTAAGGTCACTGATTATTACTGTATAGGGTTAACTGCCTCCTGGGCACGTCCCACTAGGAGGAGACCCCTAGGGAAGACCCAGGACACGCTGGAGGGACTATGTCTCTCGGCTGGCCTGGGAATGCTTTGGGGTCCCCCTCGGAGGAGCTGGAGGACGTGTCTGGGGTGAAGGAAGTCTGGGGGTCCCTGCTTAGACTGCTGCCCTCGCAACCCAGCCCCGGATAAGTGGAAGAAAATGGATGGATGGATCAATTAGGTACAAAGGGATAAACTACTGTACAACTTCAGTCATGTTATTTAGTTAAACACAGAGAAGATACATACATTCCATTAAAACCAAGTAATTTACCAGTTTAAAAAATCATGTATGGATTTATAACAACAAAAATACTGTTTACAGCAAGTCGCCACATAAGTCTCCCCTCACCTGGATGTCTCTGTAGGACAGCAGCAGGTTCATGACGATATCAGGTGTAAGCAGGTCCACACTGTCCAGACGAGCCTCGATCCTCTTCAGCTCCTCGCTCAGGGCCTGTCCTCGTAATCGCTCCCTGGCCATCCGGATGTCATGTCGGATGGACTCCCGGAAGTACTCACTGCAAAACCACAAAAGAGACATTTTAAACCATAGAAGAAATTATGTTCTCCCCCGGAGGAGTTGGAGGACGTGTCTGGGGTGAGGAAATCTGCGAGTCCCTGCTCAGACTGCTGCCCCCGCGACCCGGCCCCGGATAAGCGGAAGAAAATGTATGGATGGAAGAAATTATGTGTTATGATACCGTAATGATTGATCAGCATAATAGTGACTATGCTGCTGTTAAAATTTTGATAATCATTATTTGGACTATACACAGTATAAAATACATGCTGAAAGGCCTTTTATAACAGACATAGGCCTGTCAAGATAACAAATTTAAAGCATGAACTATTCCAATAAACACTAATATTGAAAATACCACTGTCACAAATAGGAATGGGCATGATTAGTCGACTAATCAATAATTGATCATTAAGAATTTCGTTGATTACGTTCATTTCTAATTGACAAACCGAATGTAGGTTTCTGGGAGTAGATATAAAGCTGCGACTGACAGCGCAAACACTAGAGTTGTAGCCTCTCAGTCCTACGTTTGGGCTCTGGCACGTCCTTGGAGATCACTGTACCACTCAATGAGTGTGTTGCACATCAGTATCCCAGGTTTGTCATGGTGCATGTATATATTCATGCATCAACATCCCTCTGTCACAGAAAAGTCCGACAAAAGCTGAACCGCATCAGCGCACAAGAGCATTTTTTTTTTTTTTTCCCTTTCCGATTAATTAAATTTCATCGAATGCCCATCCCTAGTCACAAAGCAGGATAATCACCAGTAAACCCATTTTTTAACATACTGAATCATTAAAAAGGCCTGAGGTGTAAAAAATAAATAGCAGAATGAATCGAGAATTAACCATAGCAGTTATTCATTCTACTTTCTATAGTACAAATCTTGCATTATTACTAAATTCATATAGTAATTACTGTGACAGGCCGACAAGAGACTGACATTATTAAATCAAAATGTATGTATGTATGTATATATATAATACACACACATCTGTCCTGAAGGAAATAATCTATGGCTGCTGCCCTAGTAATGACTCGGAATATCCTTTGCAGCAGATGTCATCATCATTCTCAGGGGGTGTGATGCTAACTGAAGGTACAACTCAATCTGAAGCTCTGTGACTGAAATTAAACTTTAATCTCATCTTTATTTTAACACAATCTGACCAGAAAGAAGTGGCTTAGTTGGAACTACAACAGGGAAGATGATTTGTGCTGTTAAACAAGTCTCTCACACACACACAAAAAAAAAATCACAGTCACAAGCCAGCAACAAATTTTCAATTAGTCACTCTCACCTTTTTTTTGTTGAAAATCAAACACCTAAACAGGGCCATGAACGCTAGTAATAATAACAAGCTCCTGAAAATGCATTGTTAAAATTCATTTTTTTTTTTTTTTTTTTTTAAGCTTTAGCCCATCTTCAGACTTTTTTGGCAGTGTTTTTCTAATGTGTGCATTGTGTCTCCAGGGTAACTATATGTGGAACATCCATGGATCTATAATAAGAACGCCAATAAGCACAGGCCATTGAAAACAATCCAGATCTTATTATAGATCTTATTATACTTCCACGAGAACACCTCCAGTATTTTGTCAATGCAAAGTATAGGATAACTAGATCTTCAAAATTAAAAACTAGGACACATCTAGGTTGGGATGTTAGTATAAATAAAATTGTGAAAAGAGCGAGTAACATTGTCCATTTTTGACTCACTCGTGGGTCAGTATAAAATCTGAGGGACTTTTGTTGGTGCATTTTTCGCTTTATGGTCATTTTCAAGCAGTTTTCTGTATTTTAGCTAAACAAATGACAATATATTCCCCTTTTTACTGTTGACGGGTATCAAATTGGTCAAAAACAGGGACATTTTTGTATAAAACTGAGACAAATCACTTGTTTTTGGATAAATCTGCTAGGACACGGGACACAGAGCTCAAAACTGGGACTATCCAGGGTAAATAGGGACATCTGGTCACCCTGGCAAAGTATCAATTTCTACCTGGACTGGACTTGCACAGTGTTGAGCAGGTGGACCAGTCTCTCTACCAGAGGAGTGAGGAGAGGCTCCAGTTGGAAAGTGGGCTGCATGAGCTCTTGGATTCCCGTCATGATGGTGGCATCACAGACAAACACTTTTCCCTGAGGTGACACTACATACGGGATGAAGGTGTAACTGCTGCACTGCTCCTACAAAACAGGAAACACATGGAAAAGTACCACATTGACAACAGCCCTTTATAAAATGCTTTCAATAATATTCAGCAAAGCAGCTGTATGCCTCAGTGCAGTGGGGCATGTTGTATGAAAGAAAATTGAACACTTGAAGGGCCCATATCACACTATTTATCCATGTTATAATGTCGTTTCCTCATCAAAAAGATACCTGGAGTTGTGTTTTGTTTTATTCACACATGTTTAACACACAAATCCTGCATATTTAGGCTGACTTCATCCCTTAAGGTGAAAACACTTGTGACATCACCTTGGGATGTTATGTGGTAATACAGGAAGTGCTCTACTGTGTTTTCAAACTCCACACACCTTCACTAGAATCATTTGGATGATTTCATACCTGTAATTGTCAATCTCTACTGAACTAAAAGGTAAATGGTAGCTATTAACTTGAAAATTACAGCTTCGTGATATCACAAGGTGGAACAGAACATTTTGAGTTTTGGAGATATAGACAGAGTAATAATAATGGTTACTTAAACATGTGTAAATGTGTAACAAAACACAACTCCAGATATGTTTTTGAGGTGGTAACAACATTTGAACATGGCTTAAAGCTCACAGAAGTGAATTTAACAGAATATAGGACCTTTAATTTTGTCCCATTTTATCTTTCACATCTTCAGAGAACTTGTCTTATCTAAAATAAACAAGCCTAATGTACCTCAAGGCAGAGTTTGATTTTAAAAAAAAAAAAAAAAAAAAAAAAAAAAAAAGGGTGCCAGGACCATTGAGTTGCGGGTGAAGGGCAGCTGCTACTTACCATTACTGTGACCACTTCAGCAAAGAACTGTAGACAAGGCTGTGCACTAATCCTGTAGGCTACAGGCAGGCTAACCAATATCCTTATTTAGCTTGTTGCTTGTAAACCCCATTAGTCTAGTCACTGGCCAGACTACTCATTGAGATTATTGATGGATAAATCTTAAAGTGCCTAGAGTACTTTATCTTTTCACCTACGTTATAATTTAGTTTCTTTATCAGAAATTTTCGTGAAATTGTGTTTTGTTTCATTCACATGTTTAACTCACAACGCCAGCCTGTTTTGGCTGTTATTCTCTCAAACTGAAAACATCCTGTTCCACCATGTGATGTCATGTGGTAATAAAGGAAGTGCTCCATTGTGTTTTTAAACTCCATCCACCTTCAGTAGAATCATTTGGATAATTTCAGCCATGGAATTGCCTGTCTCTGCTGAACTAAATACAGAAGGTAGCTGTTAACTTGAAAACTACATTTTAGAGTTTTTGATGAAGTAACATTACAGCATGGCTTAACACTCACAACAGCTATCATCATCATTTCATGTAATAGAGGACTTTTAAATTCATTAAGTCCAAGTGAAAAATGCCAAGCTCAAGATAAAACGGAAACCCATCCCAAGACTTGAAATGAAGGAGCACACAGTCAACAGCCTTTATCCTGGGCTGTACCTTAACCGCGTGCAGGTCACTGTCCTGCTTGTAACAGTAGAGGATGATGTTGTTGGTCATGCTGAAGCTCTCTCTCACTCCCAGGTGGTAGAAGAGAGAAGGCTGACAGAACGTGTCACTCATCTCCACCACTGCTACATCTGTGTGAGAAAAAGACATGCAAAACGCGGTTGAGGCTGGGAGACGGGCGTAGTCTACTACCCCCGGTCCTGTCCGCATGCCCGTACTTGCCTGAGTTGTAAAAACTATCCAGAATGTCAGTTGTCCCGAGAGAGATCCGTTCGAACGAGATGGTATTGAAGAGCGCGTTTGCGTCTGCACACGCTTCTTTCACGCATTTCTGTGACAGGTTCTCCTCAGTTTGTGGCACCGATGCGTCTTCGTTGACGATATAGGCCACGGACACGGGTCTAGTCCGACTCCGCGGAGAGATGAGCTGTTTACCGTTGGAGCCGATTTCCAGCGCCAAAGAGTCCTGCCACAAACTTCCAGCGGTAGTGGAAACCCAAACCGGGTCCTTCCTCTTGTTGTGGTCCCGCAGGCTCATGCGCCTCCGCTCCGTAGTGTACATCCTGAAAGCTTTTAAACTTAATGCATGTCTCCAAGAAAAGTTGAGTTATGAGTTGCTGTAATGTTCCAGGTGTGTCACCGCCTCCTGTCGCAGCGTATCCCGTCAGAGAGCGCTGTCCTCGGGTCCGCCCGCCCTGCTGCTCCCGGTGCACACCCCGCCTCCTGACACTCACTGAAACACGAGAGAGGACCAGAGCGACCTCTGCAGTAGATCATGCTTCCCGCTATTTGAGAAGTATACACAATATTTGAGTCCGGTCATTAGGTCTAGGCGTATATTATCCCATCTCAACCAATGAAAAAAAAAAAAGGTCACATATTGCAAACTGACGCTTGAGAGCTTTAAGTCATTTTAGAAATATTGTTACTTCTTCAAAATCATAATACCTGGAGCTGCATTTTATTCACACGTTTAGTATTAGTCTGTCTACATCTCCAAAGTTGAAAATGTAATGGGAGTTTAAAACAGAAAGAGGAACTCAGCCTATACATACATATTGTTGAGTTGTGGGAATGAAATAAAACAGAACTCCAGGTATGTTTTTGATGAGGAAACATTATAACAGAGATCAGACAATAGCATATGCGCCTTTTAAGACACCTGATTTATATTTAATTCTTCTCACACACAACATAATCACTATTTTTTTTCTATTTTAATTAAAGAGTAACTGTGTGCTGACTGAACCTTTCCGCAGATCAGCCACACTTACAGACAGTAGGTCACGTATACTGTAACTGTATCCATGACTGTAACTAGGAATTCATCAATAACAAACCTCAAGAAATTAAAATGTTCCACTGGTTTATTTATAGTACAAAAAAATCTGATTTACAATGCCCAAGTGGACCAAAATAAAAGAGGAAGTCTTAAATACTCACTCCACTGTGAAGGGACAGATCCAACAACTTTGACATTACAATGCAAAAAAAGCAACATTTGTTATGTAAAGTGTGACAGTAAGGGTTACAGTCCATATGTACAAATGAGAATGAAAAGTAATTATTTCCAGTCTGTTGTACAGCAGTGCCAAGGTCCAAAAATATACACTTTGATTTATGTGGCACCAAATGTAATCTACTGTGACTACTCAGACTACACAACCTGAGAAGTAGAAGTCTTCTTTGAGACAACTGTGGCAGGTTAGGCTATTATAGAACATACTAACCAGCCATTATGTAATCCCACAGTCAGTGAGAAAGTACAGAGGATCACTCATTTGGTTCTTGGGCTGCCTCATCAACCCCCTCGTCTTCATCCTCCTCCTCGCGCTGCTGAGCGTCCACTTCGCTGGTGTCGGAGAACTCGTGCAGCAGGACGTACTCTCTGCTGCTGAAGCCAAACTTGAGTACGTCTTTCTCTTTGAGCTCGTAGTAGCGCTGGGGCTCGATGCGCTGATTGTTCAGGTACGTACCGTTGCCAGAGCCCAAGTCAATGATGTAAGGTCTCACCCTGCGCCCATGGGTGCCATCTGCCCGAGTGTACTCCACCAGTCTGTGGAATACAATGAAGAAGATTAAACGTTAACACACTGAGGTGTGGTTTAATATACACTTTGTAAAAATGTGTTCATTGAATGTTACAAGAATATTCGAGAGGAGATGCCTTCCCAAATTTAACATCTGCAAATTTGTATTTGGAAATAAACTCTCTCCAAAAAATGTTCTCACCTATACTGAAAAACTGCATGCTGCTTTGAGCAGGATGGGTGGTCAATAGGAATATCAGCTATTCTTCTCATTCGTCCCATCAGATAGGCACTCTGTCTGTGAATGTACATGACCGGGAGGGGCTCATCATTCTTAAATGGGTACAGCCTCCATCTCCTCTTGGGAATACGGGCTTCTGGTGGTTCATTATATTTGATGACCACTCCTCTGAATGTGTTTGTGTCTTCTGTGAGAGCTCCAGACAGCTCAAAGTTTGGCTTCTCTTTGTCAGCAGGAGGTAGCTGAGCTCTCATTGCTTTCCTCACTTTGTCCAAACTCATGTTCTTGGTTTTCTTCACGTCTTTGCTGTTGCCGCTCGGCTTGCTGAGAGGCAAAAGCATCTCTGTCCCCCCTCCTCTCTCTGCCATGGTTTCGGTCACTTGACCTCTCTCTGTCTCGTGACCTGTCTCCGTCCCGTCCTCTTTCACGAGACCTGTCTGTTTCCCATTTGCTCCTTCTTTCCTCCACGGGGTCATTTCTTCTCCTCCTCTCATCACCACTCCGGTGTACATCTCGTTCCTAATGAAAACAGCAATTTACATCATATGTAGGGTTACTGATAATAGAATGCTACTTCCACAATAGGGAGTGTGAAGTGTTTAAGCATTAGATGTATAGAGTTTGCATATCAAACAGTCAGGCTAATTGACATAATAATTCACATTTACAGATTATGTATCTAGATAACAATAATATCAGCAACAATAGCAAGAGTGTTAGGAATATTTTAAATGCCCATTCATTTTGCAAGATGGTCAGCTTTATCTTCACCTAAAGACTGGAGTTATGGGAAAAACACATAGCTTCATGACGTGCATAAAACGTATGTATATTATAAAGTATGCATAATTTAAACGTGAAAGTGACTGACGCGTTTGATCGTGAGCTCGGCACCGCGGTGTGGACTGCGGCTTCTTCTGTGTCTGGGAGACCTGCTGCGAGCGGCGGGAGAAGCTTGGCGTCTCTCCTTCGTCCTCACAGGCGATCTAAAGAACACAAGTGAGTAACTCGAATAAACACATCACTTCTCTAATGTTGATGCAATCACCTGCTGGTTCTTCTCCTCGGTGGACTGGCGCTGCCGCTGGACCTGGAGCGGGAGCGGCGTGTTCTCTGTGGCCTAACAGGACTCACTCTTTCCTGCTTTATTCTGACTTTAGTCTCCCGCTCAGGAGACTCCCTCCTCTTGTGTCGCTTTTCTTTGCTTATTGTTAAAGATTCGGTCGACATAAATTAAACATTCATTGCCCCAAAAAAGAAAGAAACTCTTCTCAGAATAACAAAACAAAATCGTATCAAACTTCCACTCTTGCTCAGATCACGTGTTTCCTGTGGTACGCAAATAATGTCATCCGGTGTGGTATACGGGTGCCCGCTGTTCTTTCCGGACCTACGTTGACCTACGTTGAACCAAAACTAATCTAATTACACAAATTATTATTGTTGGCATTTGGGTATTTAAGATTTATTCAATGCAGACATCTTCATTTTTTTTTTTTTTTTTTTTACAATAGCGTTCTTGTTTCCACTCGGACAAAAACGTAACACATTAAACGCCGTTTCCATAGTGACGCAAACACTTACTCCCAGCGCGACCGTAACCATCTACTGACAAGTTTACATCCCGTTACATTTTTAAACAATTAACCCTGGAGAACCCAAGACCCCTTTTCTTCTTTGGAAAATTATGAACTATACATTAAATGACTGCTATGAGTCCACTGAACACCAAAATATCAACTTTTTCAATTTTAACCCTTTATTCCCTGATTTAGGATTAGGGTCAAATCTGACCCATTGGGTTTTACGCGTATCATTTCAAAGAATAACAATAGGAAACACTGTCAATGTTGATCACCGCAATAGACAAGAAATGCCAGAAAAGTATCATATACTAACAACGGCTCCGAATGGGAAATTTACAGTGTTCAAGACGCACATCCAGCATGTCAACTCCTCCCATGGAATCATTGTACTCCTGGATGTTCAGCTGATCTGGTCTGGGTTGTCATGGCAACCTGTTCACCTTCAAAGCTCACATCAGGCAACTCAAAGCCTTTCTTTTGCCACTTGTAAGCTTTTGCGGCACGATTTGGCTCCATCTGTGAGCTAGCAGTCTCGGCAAACGGCACATCCTCATCATTGGACGAGTCATTGTCTTGGGCAGAAGATTCACATCATCACTTTCAACATCTGGTTGAAACAATTAATCAGAATCGCTATCGCTGGTTTGCTGAGAAGAGAATTTTGTTAGGGTAGGTTTCCAGCTCAACAAAACACCATTTGGTCAGCTATCTTGTCACTCCCACTCTGGCTCGTGTCAGTTCAATATTTATCCACTAGGTGTCTCTATGCAGGGGCCAGAAGTAGCACTCTGAGCTTTTGAGGTTAAATTTGACTTTTTTTTGGTTTTCCAGGGTTAATTTAGCATCTACAGTAAATAGTTTTTACGTTCCCACCATGATCCCACCGGCAGACTCGCTGCTGAAGTATGACAACCCGGTGCTCATGAGCCAAAGGCCAAGACTCAAGTCTCCAAAGGTGAGTTGTACACAAGTTGCGAACGCTGTGTATTTGTGTGTATACGTATATGTGTGTGTATGTATAACACAACAAAAGGCAATCCTGAACTAAACACAAAGTATCAGGTCACTGCAAAATATATAGCCTGGGCTAAAAAAAAATTGTGTTTAACTACACAGCTCTGTATCAAATAGTTATCTATTCTTCTATCAATTTCTCTTCCAGGGTCGCAACTTTAAAGTCAGTCCCCAGCAGTCTCCAGACACCACCCCTGTGCCTCCTCCCCCCAAACCAAAACCAGAGACTGAACAACACAATGAAGACATCCTCAGTTCCATACTTCCTCCCAGGTGGGACATTTTCCAACAAGGACATACAAGAACCATTGATTTTTTTTTTTTTTCTTCTTTTTTTCTTTTTTGCTGAATTATTATTTCTTCCACAGAGAATGGATAGAGGGGAATCAATTATTTGTGCAGAAAGTGTCCAGTGCCTCTTCTACAAGATCAGATGTGATTAAACTAACTGAACAACTGGACACAAAGTTACAACAGAAACAGGCCAGACTCACAGGCATCTGCCCAGTGCGCAGGGAACTCTACTCACAGTGCTTTGGTGAGAAAGATTTTTTTTTTAAATTATTATTATTATTAAAGGTGCACTATGAAACTATTTGGTTGGGGTCTATCGCCTGCTTGTTTCTATGGATATGTCATTGCTCTACCTGAAATGTTCCACAGTATGCCATTAAACAGATCTACCATTTATTAAATTATAAGTGGTTTTATAGCTCAAATATCTTGAAAAAACAGGCATTCTGGCTGTGAGCGGGGTCGCTCTTTCAAAGATCTGATCTGTAACTTGGTCTAGTTTGGTCTCCCATTAAGATAAAAAGGTTTAATACCATACTGTGAAACATTCCAGATGAAGAAATGCCATCTCCATTGAGAAAATCATTCCAATAGAAAAGTTACACAATGCAGCTTTGAAATGTTCAACCTTCAGTATATTACAGATTGGGTTCACACATTAATCTTGTGGCCTTTACAACTGACAACAATGGCATATAGTATTGAGACAAATCGAAATTGAGTTTTTTTGTATCATATGTATTTTTGTATCGTAATAACACTAATACAAATGAATGCAATTTGTGTCTGTTCAGATGAGCTGATCAGACAAGTGACCATAAACTGTGCAGAGAGAGGTCAGCTGCTGTTAAGAGTGAGAGATGAAATAAAGACAACCATTGCAACATATCAGACAATCTACGAGAGCAGTGTGGCATTTGGGATGAGGAAGGCCTTGCAGTCAGAACTTGACAAGTCTGACAGGGAGAAAAAGGTAAATTACATAATTTACACTATTGTTGTTCATTCATTGTTATATTTACAACGAAACCGATTACACAATATGGACTCTTATGAGCTTTAAGATATGTTAGAATGTTGTTATCTCATTAGAAACACACCTAGACCCCTGTGTTTTATTTCATTCACACATGTTTAAGTAATCCTGGATTATTGTACTACTCTTCTGTTTACATCTTCAAAGCTCAAAATTGTAAAAGGTAGCTGT